ACACCCCACGGAGTCTATAGTTGCTCAGGTCCACTCTCTAAAAGAAAGAAAGAAAACAGACAACCCAAGGGAGGGATGGGAGAACGGCACGCCGCCACCACACAGGGATTTTAAGGAGAGGGGTGTGGTGCGCTAGCCGTCGCCCACCCTTGGGCGTCCGCCTCTTCCTATAGGTCCACTCTCTCTTCGTCTTCACTTCCCGGCAGAGATTCTTTGGTCCAAAAATTCTTTTTGTTGCTTTCTGTTGCGGGAAGCCGTGCTCCCGGCGTAACCTCTGCACGCTCCTCGCTGTGCTCCTGGGCACCGGCCTGTGCATCGCCCGATGTGTCGCGCCGCCTCTGCCAAGTACGCATCACCCGGCCACCGCGAGGCCTCTCGCTACAGCCTCGGCTGCTCGAGCCTCTGGCTGGCGGTTCCGTGCATGCACGGTGTGTTTGGCGTCCACGCTGGCGCGCTCGGCCTCGGTGGCGCCCTGCTCCTCGCCGTCACGTGCGCCGCCTGCCTCGTATCGACGCTCACCTGGCGCACGCTGGCGCACACTGGCGACCTCTCCGTCTTCAAGGCGGACAAGGCGGTGGCACGGCTTGAGTTTGTCGCTCTCTGCGTCTTTAGCGTAGCCGCTCCACCGCCCGCAGTGCGCCCTGCTGTCACTGCGTGCGTGCTGCCTATCACTGTTGCCACTCTGTACCGAGCCGGCATGGCGCTCGACTCGCGCGGGCACGAGACGGCGTCGCACTGGGCACATGCGGCCTTCCGCTTTGTCGGCTTCTGGTGGGCGTTGTTAGCCCTCGCGCACCCATCATGGCCCTCTGCGCCGCGCGTTGCTCTCGGCTCGACTTGCTATTGGGCGCACATGCTGTACTCTGTCCGCTGGCCAACAGCGTACGGCGTGCGCTTCCGCGCGGCCGATTGGTACGATTATGGTTGCTTAGACACCCTCGCTGCAGTGGCCGTGACTTTTAGTCTGGTTGAGTTTGTGTGAGAGACGACACAGTTTACAGGCCACAGCAGTTTACTACTCTCTCTCTTTGAAGGCAAACACAGAATCAGATAGTTGTACGCAGACGTCGCGGAGAGAGACAAACAGTAACAGAAACAGAGATTGCAAGAAGCGCAAGACGACACTCAGTGCCACAACACACAGGCCACAGGACAGCGATCCAATCAGCGCACGTGTGCAGAGCTGCGATGGCAGCGCCCCGCGCCAAACACAGAGAGAGAACTTGGCCTGTCCAAGGATTTCCGGCAACCCAGAGGGAAACCAGAGGGTCCCCAGCACTTTGCGTTTCCAACCTGGTTTGTGGAGCTCCCACAGATGTTCTGACAGAGACCTGGCCGTTCTGACAGCGTTCTGACAGCGTTCTGACAGTGTTCTGACAACGTTCTGACAACGTTCTGACAACAGCGCAAAATCCTCCCCTCTCTTCACAGCTCAGGGGCTCTGACATTCCCAGTTGCCCCGCTCCTTCCCTCTTCCTGTCTTGAAGTCTCCCTCCGAGCCACGGACGGACTCAACACACACAACACGTCCTCCCAAGCGCCAAGGCGACACTCTCACGTTGAGGCGTAGGCCTTGTTCTGACACAAACTTGGTCCCCGTTCTGACACAAACTTCAACTTTCAACTTCGAGTCCAAGTTTGCCTGTTCTAGCTGTAATAGCGCATCTCTCACAACGTCGTCGGGCAGACCAGGGCGTGTCCGTTGGAATCCAAGAGCTGCTAGGTGATTGCGTATGGTTCGTGGGCACACACCATATCTGTTTGCGATTGCCTCCACCGTCAGACAGGGGTCTTGATCCCAGAGTGCCTGGAGCTCGTCGTCTGAGGGCAGTGTTGGGCGCTCGCCTCCGGCCTGGATAAAGGTCAAGCCCCAGTTCCGCTTTAGCCGCTTGACCACAGAGATCGAGATACCAAAAAAGACAGCGAGGCGCTGTTCTTGCTCGCGTGTGCCATGCCAGTCGAAGCATTTGGCCGCGAATTCGCGCTGATTGATACCACTATTAGAGTCGCTCGCGGTAGGCGGTACGTAGTTGGCTGGCCGTCAATGGCCTCTCTCTGTGCGAGCCACGTCCAGTAGGTAAAATCGTCCTCAGCATCGTCGCACTCACTATCCTCAAAGGCATCACTCCAGTCTCCTGCGTCACCTGTTGCAGGCGCTTTCCCATCCCGCATTGCGGCTGTAAGCGGTGGTGAGGCCCAGAAGGCACAGCGTCGCGGGCCAGGGCATACGTGCAACCATCAGGCCGCCGCCACTCTGCCTCCAGGCGGTCGAGCGTCGACTCCTCATCAAGCGTGGCGGCCAAGAGCTACAGGCGAGAGGAGAGCTGCAGCCCACGACTGCAACCAGATGGGCGGGCGGGCGCGAGGCCGAATTTCGCCCGCCCACTATCTATCAGTAATGGCCGGGAAACAGGCCGAGGGGTCGAGGGGGTCGAGGGGTCGAGGGGGGCCTCGACCCCTCGGAGGCCCCCTCCGGAGGGGTCGAGGGGGCCTCGACCCCTCGACCCTCGGAGGGTCGAGGGGTCGAGGGGTCGAGGGGTGCGAACTTTTTCCGCGGCGTGCTGCGGTACAGGGCAATGCCGGAGTCTACAGACGCGCCACTGCTTGGGCAGCGCGTCGTGCTCGGCGGGCTCGCTTCCCGTCCCGAGTTGAACGGGCGGCGGCGGCAAGTGGCGGCGGCGGAGCAAGCGTCGAGCGGTGTCGCAAGAGGCTCCGAAGCGGTTGTGCAAGCAGCTGGGCGAGGCGACGAGGAGGCGGTGCTGGCGTGGCTCAAGGGCGGCGGGCGGGCCGACGCGACGTACGAGAGAGACGAGGTGAGCGACATCTCGCTGCTGATGTGCGCCGCCGGCGCAGGCCACGAGCGGGTGATCAAGTTGCTGCTGCGGCACGGGGCGCAGATCAACCTGCAGAGGAGCGACGGCGGCACCGCGCTGATAGCCGCCGCCGACCAAGGCCACGAGCGGGTGGTCGAGCTGCTGATTCGGTGCGGCGCGGAGATCAACCAGCAGAACAGCGGCGGCGGCACCGCGCTGGAGTGGGCCGCCCACAGCGGCCACGAGCGGGTGGTCGAGTTGCTGCTGCAGCACGGCGCGGAGATCAACATGCAGAGCAGCAGCGGCGGCACCGCGCTGATGGCCGCCGCCTTCTACGGCCACGAGCGGATGGTCGAGTTGCTGATTCGGCACGGCGCGGAGATCAACCTGCACAGCAGCGAAGGCTGCACCGCGCTGATGTACGCCGTCTTCTTGAACCACTCCGCCATTGTGCGGCGCTTGCTGCGGGCGGGCGCAGACACGGCGGCGCGCAGTGCGAACGGCAAGACGGCGCTGCAGCTGGCCAAAGAGCTGGGCTCCGCCGAGTGCGTCGAGACCTTCAAAAAGCGCGTCCAGGAGGTGGTGGCGGGACGGCCCACGATTTCTTGTTCGATTTCCACGATGCAGCAGTACATCAGCCGCTGGTTCCGCTGGAGTTCATCGGAGCGGCGCGCCATCAGCCCGGCCCTGCTCTCCGACCTGGCCGAGGGAAACCTGACCTTGCTGCGCGCCTACCTCGCCGGGCGGACGCGCGGCCCGGCGCTCACGGCCCTGCTCGACACCCGGCTGGAGGCCAAGAACCTCTTCACGCTGCTGACCTGGGCCGCTGCCCACGGGCAGATCGACGCCGTGCGGCTGCTGCTCGAGAGCGGCGCGAGCGTGGGGGCGACGACGGGCTGTGGCTCCACCGCGCTGTTCATCGCGTGCTATGAGGGCCAGCTCGACTGCGTTCGGCTGCTCCTCGGCGCCAACGCTGACGCTGACCAAGCTACGGATGACGGCGCCACGCCGCTGTACATCGCGTGCCAGGAGGGCCAGCTCGAGTGCGTGCGGCTGCTTCTCGAGTCCAGCGCGGCGGTCAACCAAGCCATGGACGACGGCGCCACGCCGCTGTTCATGGCGTGCCAGAAGGGCCAGCTCGAGTGCGCCCAGCTGCTTCTCGAGGCTGGCGCGGCCGTCGAACAAGC